CAGGACCCCCAGGTTTGATCTGGGGGTCCCAGGTGCAGTGACCCCACAGAACAGGATCCTGGGGGGGTTTCGAGTGTCCCAGGTGTGGTGGTCCCCACAGATCAGGACCCCCAGGTGGGTTTTTGGGGGTCCCAGGTGTGATGACCCCAAAAAACAGGTCCCTGGAGGGGTTTTTGGGGGTCCCAGGTGTGATGACCCCACAAAACAGGATCCTCAGGTTTGATTTTGGGGGTCCCAGGTGTGATGACCCCACAGATCAGGACCCCCAGGAGGGGTTTTTGGGGGGTGTTTTGGGTTCCCCTGGTGCAGTTTGGGGGTCCCAGCCCTGGTGACCCCTGGGGTCCTGGGGACCCCTGGCCCCATCCCCCTCCCCGCTAACCTGTCCATCTCCAGACTGGGAACAGCACCCGGAGCCGAGGGGGAGAGAAGAGACAGAGTTAGGGACCCTGGGGCAGGAATGGGGTCTGGGGGGCAGGAATGGGGTCTGGGGGGCAGGAATGGGGTTTGGGGGGGCAGGAATGGGGTCTGGGGGCAGGAATGGGGTTTGGGGGGGCAGGAATGGGGTTTGGGGGCAGGAATGGGGTTTGGGGGCAGAATGGGATTTGGGGGGCAGGAATGGGGTTTGGGGGAGCAGGAATGGGATTTGGGGGGCAGGAATGGGGTCTGGGGGGCAGGAATGGGGTTTGAGGAGGCAGGAATGGGATTTGGGGGGCAGGAATGGGGTCTGGGGGGCAGGAATGGGGTTTGAGGAGGCAGGAATGGGGTTTGGGGGCAGGAATGGGGTTTGGGGGGCAGGAATGGGGTCTGGGGGGCAGGGAATGGGGTTTGGGGGGAGCAGGAATGGGATTTGGGGGGCAGGAATGAGGCTTTGGGGGCAGGAATGGGATTTGGGGGCAGGAATGGGGCTTTGGGAGGCAGGAATGGGGTTTGGGGGCAGGAATGGGGTTTGGGGGGCAGGAATGGGGTCTGGGGGGGCAGGAATGGGATTTGGGGGCAGGAATGGGGTTTGGGGGCAGGAATGGGGTTTGGGGGGCAGAGAATGGGGTTTGGGGGGGCAGGAATGGGATTTGGGGGCAGGAATGGGGTCTAGGGGGCAGGAATGGGGGCTGGGGGCAGGAATGGGATTTGGGGGGCAGGAATGGGGTCTGGGGGGCAGGAATGGGGTTTGGGGGGCAGGAATGGGATTTGGAGGGGCAGAAATGGGATTTGGGGGCAGGAATGAGGTTTGGGGGCAGGAATGGGGTCTGGGGGGCAGAAATGGGATTTGGGGGCAGGAATGGGGTCTGGGGGGCAGGAATGGGATTTAGGGGGCAGGAATGGGGTTTGGGGGCAGGAATGGGGTCTAGGAGGCAGGAATGGGTTTGGGGGCAGGAATGGGGTTTGGGGGCAGGAATGGGATTTGGGGGGGCAGGAATGGGGTCTGGGGGCAGGAATGGGGTCTGGGGGCAGGAATGGGGTTTGGGGGGCAAGAATGGGATTTGGGGGGCAGGAATGGGGTTTGGGGGCAGGAATGGGGTTTGGGGGGGCAGGAATGGGGTTTGGGGGCAGGAATGGGGTTTGGGGGGCAGGAATGGGGTCTGGGGGCAGGAATGGGGTTTAGGGGAAGAAATGGGGTCTGGGGGCAGGAATGGGTCTGGGAGGCAGGAATGGGGTTTGGGGGGCAGGAATGGGGTTTGGGGGGGCAGGAATGGGGTCTGGGGGGCAGGAATGGGGTTTAGGGGGAAAGAAATGGGGTCTGGGGGCAGGAATGGGGTCTGGGGGGCAGGAATGGGGTTTGGGGGGCAGGAATGGGTTTGAGGGGGCAGGAATGAGGTTTGGGGACAGGAATGGAGTTTGAGAGGGCAGGAATGGATCTAGGGGGCAGGAATGGGGTTTGGGGGCAGGAGATGGGGTTTGGGGAACAGGAACAGGGTTTGAGGGGGCAGGAATGGGGTCTAGGGGTAGGGAATGAGGTTTGGGAGGACAGGAATAGGGTTTGGGGAGCAGGAATGGGGTCTGGGAGGCAGGAATGGGGTTTGGGGGCAGAAGGGGGAAAAGATGGGGAGTTTTGGGGGGGTTTTGAGGGGGCTGGGGGTCAGGGATGGAGAGCAGCAGGTTGGGTGGGTTTTGGGGTCCTGGGTGGGTTTTGGGGTCCCAGGTTTGGGTTTTAGGGGTGGTTTGGGGGTCCTTGGTGGGTTTTGGGATACCAGAGGTTGGGTTTTTGGGATGGTTTGGGGGTCTCAGGTGGGTTTTGGGGTCCCAGGTTTGGGGTTTTGGGATGTTTGGGGGTTCTGGGTGGGTTTTGGGGTACCAGGGGTTGGGTTTGGGATGGTTTTGGGGTCCTGGGTGGGTTTGAGGTACCAGGGTTGGGTTTTTGGGATGGTTTGGGGTCCTGGGTGGGTTTTGGGAGTACCAGGGTTGGGCTTTTGGGATGGTTTGGGGGTCACAGGGGGTGGGGGTCGTGGGTGGGTTTTGGGGTCCCAGGGTTGGGTTTTGGGATGGTTTGGGGGTCCCAGGGGTTGAGGGGTCTCAGAGTGGGTTTTGGGGTACCAGGGTTGGGTTTTTGGGGATGGTTTGGGGGTCCTGGGTGGGTTTTGAGGTACCAGGGTTGGGTTTTTGGGGTGGTTTGGGGTGGTTTGGGGGTCACAGGTGGGTTTTGGGGTCCTGGGTGGGTTTTGGGGTCCCAGGTTTGGGTTTTGGGGTGGTTTGGGGGTCCTTGGTGGATTTTGGGTTACCAGGGTTTGGTTTTTGGGGTGGTTTGGGGGTCCTGGGTGGGTTTTGGGGTACCAGGGTTGGGTTTTTGGGGTGGTTTGGGGGTCTTGGGTGGGTTTTGAGGTACCAGGGTTGGGTTTTAGGGTGGTTTGGGGTGGTTTGGAGGTCACAGGTGGGTTTTGGGGTACCAGGATTGGGTTTTTGGGGGTGGTTTAGGGGGTCTTGGGTGGGTTTTGGGGTCCTAGGTTTGGGTTTTTGGGGTGGTTTGGGGTCCTGGTGGGTTTTGAGGTACCAGGGTTGGGTTTTTGGGGATGGTTTGGGAGTCACAGGGGGTTGGGGTCCCGGGTGGGTTTTGGGGTCCCAGGTTTGGGTTTTGGGGTGGTTTGGGGTCTCAGGTGGGTTTTGGGGTAGCAGGGTTGGGTTTTGGGATGGTTTCAAGGGTCCTAGGTGGGTTTTGGGGTCCTGGGTGGGTTTTAGGTCCCAGGGTTGGGCTTTAGGATGGTTTGGGGTCACAGGAGGTTGGGGTTCTCAGGTGGGTTTTGGGGTCCCAGGGTTGGGTTTTTGGGGTGGTTTGGGGTCCTGGGTGGGTTTTGGGGTACCAGGGTTGGGTTTGGGGATGGTTTGGGGGTCCCAGGTGGGGTTTGGGGGTCTCAGGTGGGTTTTGGGGTACCAGGGCTGGGTTTTTAGGATGGTTTGGGGATCCCAGGAGGGTTGGGGGTCTCAGGTGGGTTTTGGGGTCCCAGGGTTGGGTTTTTAGGATGGTTTGGGGGTCTCAGGGGGTTGGGGGTCCTGGGTGGGTTTTGGGGTCCCAGGGTTGGGTTTTTAGGATGGTTTGGGGGTCACAGGGGGTTGGGGGTCCCGGGTGGGTTCAGGGTTACTTTTGGGGGGGTTGGGGGAGTTGGGTGGGATGGAGAGCAGAGGGTTGGGGGTCCCATGGGCAGGGGCACATTTGGGGTCTCCAGGGGTGCAGTTTGGGGTCTCTTGGGGTGCAGTTTGGGGGCGCAGTTTGGGCTCTCTTGGGGTGCAGTTTGGGGTCTCCAGGGGTGCAGTTTGGGGTCTCTTGGGGTGCAGTTTGGGGTCTCTGGGGGCGCAGTTTGGGCTCTCTGGGGGTGCAGTTTGGGGGCACACTTTGGGGTCTCTGGGGGTGCAGTTTGGGCTCTCTGGGGGCACAATTTGGGCTCTCTGGGGTGCAGTTTGGGGTCTCTGGGGGGGCAGTTTGGGGGCACACTTTGGGCTCTCCTGGGGTGCAGTTTGGGGGCGCAGTTTGGGCTCTGTGGGGGCACAATTTGGGGTCCCTGTGGGGCGCAGTTTGGGGGTCCCACCTTGGCCATCTTGCTCTTGCTGTCGGCCGTCAGGAAGCTCATGTTGTTGATCTCGTTCTGCACCACAAAGTTCTGCTCCTCACGCTTGAAGTTCTGCCGGGGGGGGGGACAGAAACACACACAGAGGGGTGAGGGAACCCCCAAAAAGACCCCAGGACCCCCCCCTGGACCCCCCAGAGCCCCCCAACTCACGTGGGACTTGGACCAGAGGATGAAGACCTCGCCCACCATGCGGAACAGCTCCTCGGCGTCCTCGTTGGGCTCCGTCAGCCACCCCGCCCTGGGGACAGTGGGGACACCGGGGGGGGGGCACTGTCAGTGGGTCACGGGGTCCCCACAGCCCCCTCGTGTCCCCATGGCCCCCCCATGGCCCCCATGTCCCCCACGCCCCCATACCTGCTGTTGTCCACGTAGTGGATGAGCAGGGGGTAGAGGTCCCCAGGTGTCCCCCCACATGTCCCCATGTCCCTGCCATGTGTCCCCATGTCCCCACATGTCCCCACGTGTCCCCATGTCCCCACATGTCCCCATGTCCCCCATGTCCCCCGTGCCCCCATACCTGCTGTTGTCCACGTAGCGGATGAGCAGGGGGTAGAGGGCGCAGAGGTCCCCATGTCCCCCCCATGAGTCCCCATGACCCTGTCATGTGTCCCCATGTCCCCATGTCCCCCCCATGAGTCCCCATGTCCCCCACATGTCCCCATGTCCCCCATGTCCCCCTGTCCCCCCATACCTGCTGTTGTCCACGTAGCGGATGAGCAGGGGGTAGAGGGCGTAGAGGTCCCTGCAGAGCACGGAGAACTCGTCCCTGATGAGCAGCTCGGCGTCCTCGCCCTCGGCCTTGCCCTCGAGCCGCAGCTGCTCCTCCTCGGCCACCACTTTACCCGCCGCTTGCGCAGCCGGCCCAGCGTGGGATGAAGTGAGAGCGCAGCAGCTCCGGACGAGCCTTGCTCACGATGGGCTGGGCAAACACTGAGGGGACATCAGGGACATCAGGGACATCAGGGACACTGCTGGACCACCCAGGGACACTGTTGTCCCCATTGGGACCACCCAGAGCCACCAGCACCCTCAGGGTGTGGGGATGAAGTGAGAGCGCAGCAGCTCCGGACGAGCCTTGCTCACGATGGGCTGGGCAAACACTGAGGGGACATCAGGGACATCAGGGACATCAGGGACACTGCTGGACCACCCAGGGACACTGCTGTCCTCACTGGGACCACCCAGAGCCACCAGCACCCTCACGGTGTGGGGATGAAGTGAGAGCGCAGCAGCTCCGGACAAGCCTTGCTCACGATGGGCTGGGCAAACACTGAGGGGACATCAGGGACATCAGGGACACTGCTGTCCCCACTGGGATTACCCAGGGACACTGCTGTCCCCACTGGGAGCACCCAGGGACACAGGGTGTGGGGATGAAGTGAGAGCGCAGCAGCTCCGGACGAGCCTTGCTCTACGATGGGCTGGGCAAACACTGAGGGGACATCAGGGACATCAGGGACATCAGGGACATCAGGGACACTGCTGGACCACCCAGGGACACTGCTGTCCCCACTGGGACCACCCAGGGACACTGCTGTCCCCACTGGGAGCACCCAGGGACACAGGGTGTGGGGATGAAGTGAGAGCGCAGCAGCTCCGGACGAGCCTTGCTCACGATGGGCTGGGCAAACACTGAGGGGACATCAGGGACATGAGGGACATCAGGGACATCAGGGACACTGCTGGACCACCCAGGGACATCGCTGTCCCCGCTGGGAGCACCCAGAGCCACCAGCACCCTCAGGGCGTGGGGATGAAGTGAGAGCGCAGCAGCTCCGGACGAGCCTTGCTCACGATGGGCTGGGCAAACACTGAGGGGACATCAGGGACATCAGGGACATCAGGGACATCAGGGACATCATCAGGGACACTGCTGTCCCCACTGGGACCACCCAGAGCCATCAGCACCCTCAGGGCGTGGGATGAAGTGAGAGCGCAGCAGCTCCGGACGAGCCTTGCTCACGATGGGCTGGGCAAACACTGAGGGGACATCAGGGACAGCAGGGACATCAGGGACATCAGGGACATCATCAGGGACACTGCTGTCCCCACTGGGACCACCCAGAGCCATCAGCACCCTCAGGGCGTGGGGATGAAGTGAGAGCGCAGCAGCTCCGGACGAGCCTTGCTCACGATGGGCTGGGCAAACACTGAGGGGACATCAGGGACAGCAGGGACATCAGGGACACTGCTGTCCCCTTTGGGACCACCCAGGGACACTGCTGTCCCCACTGGGAGCACCCAGGGACACTGCTGTCCCCACTGGGATCACCCAGGGACACAGGGTGTGGGGATGAAGTGAGAGCGCAGCAGCCTCGGACGAGCCTTGCTCACGATGGGCTGGGCAAACACTGAGGGGACATCAGGGACATCAGGGACATCAGGGACACTGCTGTCCCCACTGGGACCACCCAGGGACACTGCTGTCCCCACTGGGACCACCCAGAGCCACCAGCACCCTCAGGGTGTGGGGATGAAGTGAGAGCGCAGCAGCTCCGGACGAGCCTTGCTCACGATGGGCTGGGCAAACACTGAGGGGACATCAGGGACATCAGGGACATCAGGGACATCATCAGGGACACTGCTGTCCCCTTTGGGATCACCCAGGGACACCGCTGTCCCCACTGGGACCACCCAGTGACACAGGGCATGGGGATGAGGTGAGAGCGCAGCAGCTCCGGACGAGCCTTGCTCACGATGGGCTGGGCAAACACTGAGGGGACATCAGGGACATCAGGGACACTGCTGTCCCCATTGGGATCACCCAGGGACACTGCTGTCCCCACTGGGACCACCCAGGGACATCAGGGACATCAGGGACACTGCTGTCCCCACTGGGACCACCCAGAGCCACCAGCACCCTCAGGGACACTGGGGAACATCGACATCCCCATCAGGACCAGCCATGGCCACCTCCACCCCCTCTGTGACCACCCCTGGCCACCTCCACCCTGGGACCACCAAGGGCCACCCCCACCCCCTCTGTGACCACCCCTGGCCACCTCCATCCTGGGACCACCCATGGCCACCCCCACGCCCTCTGTGACCCCCATTACCATCCTGGGACCACCCGTGGCCACCATCACCATCCTGGGACCACCCATGGCCACCTCCACCCCCTTTGTGGCCACCATTACCATCCTGGGACCACCCGTGGCCACCCCCCCACTTTGTGACCCCCATCACCATCCTGGGACCACCCGTGGCCACCCCCACCCCCAGCATTTGTGACCCCCATCACCATCCTGGGACCACCCGTGGCCACCTCCACCCCCTTTGTGACCCCCATCACCATCCTGGGACCACCCAGGGCCACCTCCATCCTGGGACCACCCATGGCCACCCCCCCACTTTGTGACCCCCATCACCATCCTGGGACCACCTGTGGCCACCTCCACCCCCTCTGTGACCACCCGTGGCCACCATCACCATCCTGGGACCACCCGTGGCCACCTCCACCCCCTTTGTGACCCCCATCACCATCCTGCGACCACCCATGGCCACCCCCACCCCCTCTGTGACCACCCGTGGCCACCTCCATCCTGGGACCACCCAGGGCCACCTCCACCCCCTTTGTGGCCACCATTACCATCCTGGGACCACCTGTGGCCATCCCCACCCCCTCTGTGACCACCCCGTGGCCACCTCCACCCCATTTGTCACCACCCATGGCCACCCCCACCCCTCTGTGACCACCCAAGGCCCACCTCATCCCGTGCCCCCCTCACCCGCCAGCCTCTTCATCCAGGAGGCCTCGTCGATGCCCAGGTTGTTGACGACGATGCGCAGGATGTGGCCCAGCAGGGCGTTGAGGTGCTGGCCGGTGACGTTGGTGGCCCAGGGGCCCCGGGGGGCGGCGTCGGGGCCGCGCTCCCACCAGCGGGGCAGGTAATGGCACAGCATGGGCAGCGCCACCTCGATCACGTGCGGCATCTCCGTGTAGCGCGCGCCCGACTCCGCCAGGCCCCCGATGTCCCCCATCAGCCGCTCCAGGTCCGGCAGGTCCGGGCACAGCTCCTCCACTCGGCTGGGCAGGCCCAGGACTGGGGGAGAAAGGGGTATGGGGTCACCCAAAGGGCATGGGGGGCACCCACAGGGCACAGCTCCTCCACTCGGCTGGGCAGGCCCAAAACTGGGGGGGAGAAGGGGGTATGGGGTCACCCACGGTGTGGGGGGCACCCACAGGGCACAGCTCCTCCACACGGCTGGGCAGGCCCAGGACTGGGGGGGACAGGGGGTATGGGGTCACCCACGGTGTGGGGGGCACCCATGGCATGGGGGGCACCCAAAGGGCACAGCTCCTCCACGCGGCTGGGGAGGCCCAAAACTAGGGGGGAGGGAAACCCAAAGGTTATGGGGGGCACCCACAGGGCATGGGGGGCACCCACAGGGCACAGCTCCTCCACTCGGCTGGGCAGGCCCAAAACTGGGCAGGGGGGACACCCCAAAGGTTATGGGGGGCACCCACAGGGCATGGGGGGCACCCAAAGGGCATGGGGGACACCCAAAGGGCACAGCTCCTCCACGCGGCTGGGCAGGCCCAGGACTGGGGGGGACAGGGGGTAGGGGGTCACCCAAAGGGCATGGGGGGCACCCAAAGGTTATGGGGGACACCCAGAGGGCATGGGGGGCACCCAAAGGCATGGGGGGCACCCACAGGGCACAGCTCCTCCACTCGGCTGGGCAGGCCCAGGACTGGGGGGGACAGAGGGTAGGGAGTCACCCAAAGGCATGGGGGGCACCCAAAGGGCATGGGGGGCACCCACAGGGCACAGCTCCTCCACTCGGCTGGGGAGGCCCAAAACTGGGAGGGAGAAGGGGGTAGGGGGTCACTCACAGGGCATGGGGGGCACCCAGAGGTCATGGGGGATACCCCATGGCATGGGGGGCACCCACAGGGCACAGCTCCTCCACATGGCTGGGGAGGCCCAAAACTGGGGGGGACACTCAAAGGTTATGGGGGGCACCCAAAGGGCATGGGGGTCACGCACAGGGCATGGGGGGCACCCAAAGGGCACAGCTCCTCCACTCGGCTGGGCAGGCCCAAAACTGGGGGGGACAGGGGGTATGGGGTCACCCATGGTGTGGGGGGCACCCACAGGGCATGGGGGACACCCAAAGGGCACAGATCCTCCACACGGCTGGGGAGGCCCAAAACTGGGGGGGACAGGGGGTATGGGGTCACCCACAGGGCATGGGGGGCACCCACAGGGCATGGGGGACACCCAAAGGGCATGGGGGGCACCCACAGGGCACAGCTCCTCCACACGGCTGGGCAGGCCCAAAACTAGGGGGGGACAGAGGGTAGGGGGTCACCCAAAGGGCATGGGGGGCACCCACAGGGCACAGATCCTCCACACGGCTGGGCAGGCCCAAAACTGGGGGGGACAGGGGGTATGGGGTCACCCATGGTGTGGGGGGCACCCACAGGGCACAGGGGACACCCACAGGGCATGGGGGGCACCCACAGGGCACCGGGGTCACCCACAGGGCATGGGGGACACCCACAGGGCACAGCTCCTCCACTCGGCTGGGGAGGCCCAAAACTGGGGGGGAGAAGGGGGTATGGGGTCACCCACAGGGCATGGGGGGCACCCAAAGGGCACAGCTCCTCCACTCGGCTGGGGAGGCCCAAAACTGGGGGGGAGAAGGGGGTATGGGGTCACCCAAAGGCATGGGGGGCACCCACAGGGCATGGGGGTCACCCAAAGGGCACAGCTCCTCCACTCGGCTGGGAAGGCCCAGGACTGGGGGGGGGGACACCCAAAGGTTATGGGGGGCACCCACAGGGCATGGGGGGCACCCAAAGGTTATGGGGGGCACCCACAGGGCATGGGGGGCACCCAAAGGTTATGGGGGGCACCCAAAGGGCACAGCTCCTCCACGCGGCTGGGGAGGCCCAAAACTGGGGGGCACAGGGGGTATGGGGTCACCCATGGTGTGGGGGGCACCCAAAGGGCACAGGGGATACCCCATGGTGTGGGGGGCACCCACAGGGCACAGCTCCTCCACACAGCTGGGGAGGCCCAAAACTGGGGGAGAAAGGGGTATGGGGTCACCCAAAGGTTATGGGGGGCACCCAAAGGGCATGGGGGACACCCAAAGGGCACAGCTCCTCCACACAGCTGGGGAGGCCCAAAACTGGGGGGGGGACACACCCAAAGGTTATGGGGGCACCCACAGGGCATGGGGGCACCCACAGGGCATGGGGGACACCCACAGGGCACAGCTCCTCCACACGGCTGGGGAGGCCCAAAACTGGGGGAGAAAGGGGTATGGGGTCACCCAAAGGTTATGGGGGGCACCCAAAGGGCATGGGGGACACCCAAAGGGCACAGCTCCTCCACACAGCTGGGGAGGCCCAAAACTGGGGGGGGGACACACCCAAAGGTTATGGGGGGCACCCACAGGGCATGGGGGGCACCCACAGGGCATGGGGGACACCCACAGGGCACAGCTCCTCCACACGGCTGGGGAGGCCCAAAACTGGGGGGGACAGGGGGTATGGGGTCACCCACAGGGCATGGGGGGCACCCACAGGGCATGGGGGGCACCCACAGGGCACAGCTCCTCCACTCGGCTGGGGAGGCCCAAAACTGGGGGGGGACAGGGGGTATGGGGTCACCCATGGTGTGGGGGGCATCCAAAGGGCATGGGGGACATCCACAGGGTATGGGGGGCACCCACAGGGCATGGGGGGCACCCAAAGGGCACAGCTCCTCCACACGGCTGGGGAGGCCCAGGACTGGGCAGGGGGGACACCCAAAGGTTATGGGGGGCACCCACAGGGCATGGGGGTCACCCAAAGGGCACTGGGGACACCCAAAGGTTATGGGGGGCACCCACAGGGCATGGGGGGCACCCAGAGGGCATGGGGGACACCCAAAGGGCATGGGGGACACCCACAGGGCACAGCTCCTCCACTCGGCTGGGGAGGCCCAGGACTGAGGGGGGGACACCCAAAGGTTATGGGGGGCACCCAAAGGGCACAGGGGACACCCAAAGGGCACTGGGGACACCCAAAGGTTATGGGGGGCACCTACAGGGCACAGCTCCTCCACGCGGCTGGGGAGGCCCAGGACTGGGGGGGACAGGGGGTATGGGGTCACCCATGGTGTGGGGGGCACCCAAAGGGCACAGGGGATACCCACAGGGCATGGGGGACACCCAAAGGGCACAGCTCCTCCACACGGCTGGGGAGGCCCAAAACTGGGGGAGAAGGGGCAGGGGGTCACCCACGGTGTGGGGGGCACCCAAAGGGCATGGGGGACATCCACAGGGTATGGGGGGCACCCACAGGGCATGGGGGTCACCCACAGGGTATGGGGGGCACCCACAGGGCATGGGGGTCACCCACAGGGTATGGGGGGCACCCACAGGGCATGGGGGACACCCAAAGGGCACAGCTCCTCCACACGGCTGGGGAGGCCCAGGACTGGGGGGGACAGAGGGTAGGGAGTCACCCAAAGGCATGGGGGGCACCCAAAGGGCATGGGGGGCACCCACAGGGCACAGCTCCTCCACTCGGCTGGGGAGGCCCAAAACTGGGAGGGAGAAGGGGGTAGGGGGTCACTCACAGGGCATGGGGGGCACCCAGAGGTCATGGGGGATACCCCATGGCATGGGGGGCACCCACAGGGCACAGCTCCTCCACATGGCTGGGGAGGCCCAAAACTGGGGGACACTCAAAGGTTATGGGGGCACCCAAAGGGCATGGGGGTCACGCACAGGGCATGGGGGCACCCAAAGGGCACAGCTCCTCCCACTCGGCTGGGCAGGCCCAAAACTGGGGGACAGGGGGTATGGGGTCACCCATGGTGTGGGGGGCACCCACAGGGCACAGGGGATACCCACAGGGCATGGGGGGCACCCACAGGGCACAGCTCCTCCACTCGGCTGGGGAGGCCCAGGACTGGGGGGGACAGGGGGTATGGGGTCACCCACGGTGTGGGGGGCACCCACAGGGCACTGGGGACACCCAAAGGGCATGGGGGACACCCAAAGGGCACAGGGGATACCCCATGGTATGGGGGGCACCCACAGGGCACAGCTCCTCCACACGGCTGGGGAGGCCCAAAACTGGGGGGGACACTCAAAGGTTATGGGGGGCACCCAAAGGGCACTGGGGACACCCAAAGGGCACAGCTCCTCCACTCGGCTCGGGAGGCCCAAAACTGGGGGGGACAGGGGGTATGGGGTCACCCACAGGGCATGGGGGGCACCCAAAGGGCATGGGGGGCACCCACAGGGCATGGGGGTCACCCAAAGGGCATGGGGGACACCCACAGGGCACAGCTCCTCCACGCGGCTGGGCAGGCCCAAAACTGGGGGGAGAAGGGGGTATGGGGTCACCCAAAGGGCATGGGGGGCACCCAAAGGGCATGGGGGGCACCCAAAGGGCACAGCTCCTCCACGCGGCTGGGCAGGCCCAAAACTGGGGGGGGACAGGGGTTATGGGGTCACCCAAAGGGCATGGGGGGCACCCACAGGGCATGGGGGCACCCAAGGGCACAGCCCTCCACTCGGCTGGGCAGGCCCAAAACTGGGGGGACACCCAAAGGTTATGGGGGCACCCACAGGGCATGGGGGCACCCAAAGGGCACAGCTCCTCCACTGGCTGGGGAGGCCCAGGACTGGGGGGACAGAGGGTATGGGGTCACCCACAGGGCATGGGGGGCACCCAAAGGGCACAGCTCCTCCACTCGGCTGGGGAGGCCCAAAACTGGGGGGGACAGGGGGTAGGGGGTCACCCATGGTGTGGGGGGCACCCAAAGGGCACAGGGGATACCCACAGGGCATGGGGGACACCCTAAGGGCACAGCTCCTCCACACGGCTGGGAGGCCCAGGACCTGAGGGACAGGGCAGGGAGTCACCCAAAGGTCATGGGGGCACCCAAAGGGCATGGGAGGCACCCACAGGGCACAGCTCCTCCACGTGGCTGGGGAGGCCCAAAACTGGGGGGGAGAAGGGGTAGGGGGTCACCCACAGGGCATGGGGGACATCCACAGGGCACTGGGGGCACCCACAGGGCACAGCTCCTCCACGTGGCTGGGGAGGCCCAAAACTGGGGGGGACAGGGGGTATGGGGTCACCCACGGCATGGGGGACACCCAAAGGGCATGGGGGGCACCCAAAGGGCACAGCTCCTCCACTCGGCTGGGGAGGCCCAAAACTGGGGGACAGGGTGGGGGTCACCCACAGGGCATGGGGGACATCCACAGGGCACTGGGGGCACCCACAGGGCACAGCTCCTCCACATGGCTGGGGAGGCCCAGGACTGGGGGGGACAGGGGGTAGGGAGTCACCCAAAGGCATGGGGGGCACCCAAAGGGCAGGGGGGACACCCAGAGGGCATGGGGGACACCCAAAGGGCACAGCTCCTCCACACGGCTGGGGAGGCCCAGGACTGAGGGGGGGACACCCAAAGGTTATGGGGGACACCCACAGGGCATGGGGGGCACCCACAGGGCACAGGCCTCCACTACTGGGCAGGCCCAGGACTGGGGACACCTAAAGGTTATGGGGGCACCCACAGGCATGGGGGACACCCAGGGCACAGCTCCTCCACTCGGCTCGGGAGGCCCAGGACTGGGGGGGGGGACACCCAAAGGTTATGGGGGGCACCCACAGGGCACAGGGGTCACCCAAAGGGCACAGGGGATACCCCATGGCATGGAGGGCACCCAAAGGGCACAGCTCCTCCACACGGCTGGGGAGGCCCAGGACTGGGGGGGACAGGGGGTATGGGGTCACCCAAAGGGCATGGGGGGCACCCAAAGGGCATGGGGAGCACCCACAGGGCACAGCTCCTCCACTCGGCTGGGGAGGCCCAGGACTGGGGGGAAGAAGGGGGTATGGGGTCACCCATGGTGTGGGGGGCACCCAAAGGGCATGGGGGACACCCAGAGGGCACAGGGGATACCCCATGGCATGGGGGACACCCACAGGGCACAGCTCCTCCACTCGGCTGGGCAGGCCCAGGACTGAGGGGGGGGACACCCAAAGGTTATGGGGGGCACCCAAAGGGCATGGGGGGCACCCACAGGGCATGGGGGGCACCCACAGGGCACAGCTCCTCACGGCTGGGAAGCCCAGGACGAGGGGCACAAGCATGGGGCACTCCACAGGGCATGGGGGCACCCAAGGGGCTTAGTGGCACCCAAAGGGCATAGGGGCACCCACAGGGCATGGGGGCACCCACAGGGCACAGCTCCTCCACTCGGCTGGGCAGGCCCAAAACTGGGGGGAGAAGGGGTTATGGGGTCACCCACAGGGCATGGGGGACATCCACAGGGCATGGGGGCACTCCACTGGGGCACAGCTCCTCCACTACGGCTGGGCAGGCCCAGGACTGGGGGGACACCCAGGTGTGGGGGTCACCCAAAGGCATGGGGGCACCCACAGGGCATGGGGGACACCCACAGGGCATGGGGGACACCCACAGGGCACAGCTCCTCCACACGGCTGGGGAGGCCCAGGACTGGGCAGAGGGGACACCCAAAGGTTATGGGGGACACCCACAGGGCATGGGGGGCACCCACAGGGCACAGCTCCTCCACACGGCTGGGCAGGCCCAGGACTGGGGAGACACAGGGGTTATGGGGTCACCCACAGGGCATGGGGGCACCCACAGGGCACAGCTCCTCCACTGGCTGGGCAGGCCCAAGGACTGGGGGACACCCAAGGTATGGGGGCACCCACAGGGCATGGAGGTCACCCACAAGGGCACAGGGCATACCCACATGGCATGGGAGGCACCCAGGGCACAGCTCCTCACACGGCTGGGGAGGCCCAAGGACTGGGGGGCAGGGGTAGGCACCCAAAGGGCATGGGGGCACCCATAGGGCATAGGGGACACCCACAGGGCACAGCTCCTCCACTCGGCTGGGGAGGCCCAGGACTGGGGAGAAGGGGTATGGGGTCACCCATGGTGTGGGGGCACCCAAAGGGCATGGGAGGACACAGAGGGCACAGGGGATACCCACAGGGCATGGGGGACACCCACAGGGCACAGCTCCTCCACACGGCCGGGGAGGCCCAGGACTGGGCAGGGGGACACAGAGGTATGGGGGCACCCAAAGGGCATAGGGGACACCCATGGGCATGGGGGGCACCCAAAGGGCACAGCTCCTCCACTCGGCTGGGCAGGCCCAGGACTGGGGGGGACAGGGGGTATGGGGTCACCCATGGTGTGGGGGCACCCACAGGGGCATGGGGGCACCCAAAGGGACACAGGGATACCCCATGGCATGGGGGACACCCACAGGGCACAGCTCCTCCACTCGGCTGGGGAGGCCCAGGACTGGGGGGAGAAGGGGCAGGGGGTCACCCACAGGGCATGGGGGGCACCCAAAGGGCATGGGGGACACCAGGGATGGCCCAGGTGACACAGGGGTGACAGAGGTGACAGAGGTGACACAGGGGTGACAGAGGTGACACAGGTGACACAGAGGTGACACAGGGGTGACAGAGGTGACACAGGGGTGACAGAGGTGACACCCACGTGCTCTCTCGCGGGCGCTCTTGGTGCTGTACACGGAGCAGGGGTTCAGGGGACACAGAGGGTGACACAGGTGACACAGGGGTGACACAGAGGTGACACAGGGGTGACACAGGTGACACAGGGGTGACACAGGTGACACAGGGGTGACACAGCAGTGACACAGGTGACACAGGGGTGACAGAGGTGACACCCACGTGCTCTCTCCCGGGCGCTCTTGGTGCTGTACACGGAGCAGGGGTTCAGGGGACACAGGGGTGACAGAGGTGACACAGGGTGACACAGGGGGGACACAGAGGTGACACAGGTGACACAGGGGGGACACAGGTGACACAGGGGGGACACAGGGAGGACACAGGGGTGACAGAGGTGACACAGGGGTGACACAGGTGACACCCACGTGCTCTCTCCCGGGCGCTCTTGGTGCTGTACACGGAGCAGGGGTTCAGGGGACACAGGGGGGACACAGAGGTGACACAGGTGACACAGGGGTGACACAGGGGACACAGGGGTGACACAGGTGACACAGGGGTGACACAGAGGTGACAGAGGTGACACCCACGTGCTCTCTCCCGGGCACTCTTGGTGCTGTACACGGAGCAGGGGTTCAGGGGACACAGGAGGTGACACAGAGGTGACACAGGGGTGACACAGGGGTGACACAGAGGTGACACAGGTGACACAGGGGTGACACAGGTGACACAGGGGTGACAGAGGTGACACCCACGTGCTCTCTCGCGGGCGCTCTTGGTGCTGTACACGGAGCAGGGGTTCAGGGGACACAGGTGACACAGGGTGACACAGGGGTGACACAGGGGTGACAGAGGTGACACAGGGGTGACAGAGGTGACACCCACGTGCTCTCTCCCGGGCGCTCTTGGTGCTGTACACAGAGCAGGGGTTCAGGTGGTTGAGCCGTGGCTCCAGGAAGGCGACGGGCATGGCGGCGGCCAGGCGGGCCAGGCACTCCCCCAGGGCCGGCCTCTGTCTGGGGAGGGGACAACGGGGACATTGGGGTCACCCCATGGCACCCCACAGCACCCTACTGCTCCCCATGGCTCCCTATGGGCTCCCCATGGCACCCCCTGTCACCCCATGGCACTGCCCAGGCGGGCCAGGCACTCCCCCAGGGCCGGCCTCTGTCTGGGGGGACAGGGAGGGGACAGCAGAGTCACCCCATGGCACCCCCTGCCACCCCATGGCACCCCCTGTCCCCCCATGGCTCCCTATGTGTTCCCCCTGTCACCCTCTGTCCCCCCATGGCACTGCCCAGGTGGGCCAGGCACTCCCCCAGGGCCGGCCTCTGTCTGGGGAGGGGACAATGGGGACATTGGGGTCACCCCATGGCACCCCCTGTCCCCCCATGGCTCCCTATGGGCTCCCCATGTCACCCCTGTCACCTCATGGCACTGCCCAGGCGGGCCAGGCACTCCCCCAGGGCTGGCCTCTGTCTGGGGAGGGGACAATGGGGACATTGGGGTCACCCCATGGCCCCCCATGGCACCCCCTGTCCTCCCATGGCACTGCCCAGGAGGGTCAGGCACTCCCCCAGGGCCGGCCTCTGTCTGGGGGGACAGGGAGGGGACAGCAGAGTCACCCCATGGCACCCTGCCACCCCATGGCACCCTGTCCCCCCATGGCTCCCTATGGGCTCCCCATGGCACCCCCTGTCCCTCATGGCACTGCCCAGGCGGGCCAGGCACTCCCCCAGGGCCGGCCTCTGTCTGGGGAGGGGACAATGGGGACATTGGGGTCACCCCATGGCACCCCCTGTCCCCCCATGGCTCCCTATGGGCTCCCCCTGTCACCCCCTGTCCCCCCATGGCACTGCCCAGGCGGGCCAGGCACTCCCCCAGGACCGGCCTCTGTCTGGGGAGGGGACAATGGGGACATTGGGGTCACCCCATGGTTCCCCATGGCACCCCCTGTCCCCCCATGGCACTGCCAGGCACTCCCCCAGGGTCGGCCTCTGTCTGGGGAGGGGACAATGGGGACATTGGGGTCACCCCATGGCACTGCCCAGGGGGGCCAGGCACTCCCCCAGCGCTGGCCTCTGTCTGGGGAGGGGACAATGGGGACAATGGGGACATTGGGGTCACCCCCTGTCCCCCCATGGCACCCCTGTCACCCCATGGCACTGCCCAGGTGGGTCAGGCACTCCCCCAGGGTTGGTCTCTGTCTGGGGAGGGGACAATGGGGACAGCAGGGACATCAGAGTCCACCCCATGGCCCATGCCCCCTCCCCATTTCTGGGACCTCCCCCTCGGCATTTCGGGGCCTCTCAGGGAGGTTTTGGGGCTACCTCCGTTTTTGGGGTCCCTCTGTGTGTTTTTGGGGTCCCCCTGTGTGTTTTGGGGTCCCCCAAGGTTTTTGGGGTCCCCCCCGTGTTTTGGGGTGCCCACCTGTCGACGTGTGGCCCGCGGGCGGTGCCCAGGCTGTAGATGCTGCACAGGATGCGGTAACAGGACACCTGCACATCGTCCACTGTGGGGACAGGGCTGTCACCCGAGCCCCCAGCCCGTCCCCAGCGTGTCCCAAACGTGTCCCAGTGTCCCCTGTCCCTCCCTCTGTCCCAAACGTGTCCCCTGTCCCTCCCAAAGCCCCTGTCCCAAACGTGTCCCCTGTCCCTCCCAAAGCCCTGTTCCAAACGTGTCCCAGTGTCCCTGTCCTCCCCTGTCCCAGACGTGTCCCTGTCCTCCCCCCTGTCCCAGACGTGTCCCCTGTCCCTCCCAAAGCCCCTGTCCCAAACGTGTCCCCTGTCCCTCCCAAAGCCCCTGTTCCAAACGTGTCCCAGTGTCCCCTGTCCCTCCCCCTGTCCCAGACGTGTCCCCTGTCCCTCCCCCTGTCCCAGACGTGTCCCCTGTCCCTCCCAAAGCCCCTGTTCCAAACGTGTCCCAGTGCCCCCTGTCCCTCCCCCTGTCCCAAACGTGTCCCCTGTCCCTCCCAAAGCCCCTGTCCCAAACGTGTCCCAGTGTCCCCTGTCCCTCCCCCTGTCCCAAACATGTCCCATTGTCCCCTGTTCCCAAACGTGTCCCCTGTCCCAAACGTGTCCCATTGTCCCCTGTTCCAAACGTGTCCCCTGTCCCAAACGTGTCCCAGTGTCCCCTGTCCCTCCCCCTGTCCCAAACGTGTCCCCTGTCCCAAACGTGTCCCAGTGTCCCCTGTCCCTCCCCCTGTCCCAAACGTGTCCCATTGTCCCCTGTCCCAAATGTGTCCCCTGTCCCTCCCAAGGCCCCTGTCCCAAACGTGTCCCCATGTCCCCAGTACATCCCCATGTCCCCTGTCCCTCCTGACCCCCATGTCCCCACCATGCCCCCACCGTGTCCCCTCATGTCCCTGTGTCCCCATAATGTGCCCCCTGTCCCCCTGTATCCCCTCCATGTCCCCCTGTGTCCTCCTCCTGTCCTCGTGTCCCCCAGTGTACCCCCATGTCCCCCATGTCCCCCTGTGTCCCCAGTGCCCCCATGTCCCCAGTGTCCCCCATGTCCCCCATGTCCCAGTGTCCCCAGTTCCTCACGGATGACGTCGTCCCCGAACTGGTGCTGTGCCAGGTGCTCGAAGAGGGCGGTGAGCACGGGCAGCAGGGCCACCGAGGTGCAGGTGACGTGTGCCCCCTGTGTCCCCCAGTGTCCCCAGTGTCCCCATGTCCCCCAGTGACCCCCAGTGTCCCCTCATGTCCCCAGTGCCCCCAGCTCTCACGGATGACGTCGTCCCCGAACTGGTGCTGTGCCAGGTGCTCGAAGAGGGCGGTGAGCACGGGCAGCAGGGCCACCGAGGTGTAGGTGACGTGTGCCCCCATGTGTCCCCCTGTGTCCCCCATGCCCCCATAATGTCCCTCCATGTCCCCCTGTGTCCCCCCATGTCCCCCCTGTGTCCCCTCATGTCCCCATGTCCCCATAATGTCCCCCATGTCCCCCCTGTGTCCCCTCATGTCCCCAGTGTCCCCAGCTCCTCACGGATGACGTCGTCCCCGAACTGGTGCTGTGCCAGGTGCTCGAAGAGGGCGGTGAGCACGGGCAGCAGGGCCACCGAGGTGTAGGTGACGTGTGCCCCCTGTGTCCCCCTGTGTCCCCATAATGTCCCCCCAGTGTCCCCAGTGTCCCCAGCTCCTCACGGATGACGTCGTCCCCGAACTGGTGCTGTGCCAGGTGCTCGAAGAGGGCGGTGAGCACGGGCAGCAGGGCCACCGAGGTGTAGGTGACGTGTGCCCCCTGTGTCCCCTGTGTCCCCATAATGTCCCCCAGTGTCCCCCCCCATGTCCCAGTGTCCCCAGCTCCTCACGGATGACGTCGTCCCCGAACTGGTGCTGTGCCAGGTGCTCGAAGAGGGCGGTGAGCACGGGCAGCAGGGCCACCGACGTGTAGGTGACGTGTCCCCCCATGTGTCCCCATGTCCCCCCATGTCCCCCAGTGTCCCCCCATGTCCCCCATGTCCCCAGTGCCCCAGCTCCTCACAGATGACGTCGTCCCGAACTGGTGCTGTGCCAGGTGCTCGAAGAGGGCGGTGAGCACGGGCAGCAGGGTCACAGGTGATGTGTCCCCCCATGTCCCCAGTGTCCCCCCTGTCCCCACAATGTCCCCCCATGTCCCCAGTGCCCCCAGCTCTCACGGATGACGTCGTCCCCGAACTGGTGCTGTGCCAGGTGCTCGAAGAGGGCGGTGAGCACGGGCAGCAGGGCCACTGAGGTGTAGGTGACGTGTCCCCCCGTGTCCCCCTGTGTCCCCCTGTGTCCCCCCTGTGTCCCCCCAAGTCCCCAGTGCCCCCAGCTCCTCACGGATGACGTCGTCCCCGAACTGGTGCTGTGCCAGGTGCTCGAAGAGGGCGGTGAGCACGGGCAGCAGGGCCACCGAGGTGTAGGTGACGTTCTGGGCCACGCCCTTGGTGGGGGCTCGCGTGGGGGTCCCCCGGCCCAGCCGCAGCTGCTCCCCCAGCTTCTCCATGTCCTCGGCAGCCGACTCGAAGAACGAGCGCAGCCCCGCCTTGACGATCTCGGGCCGGACTTCATCACCGTCCTGGGGACATGGGGACATCAGGGACATTGGGGACATGGACACTGACACAGGGACACAGGACAGGGACATGGGCAGGGACACAGGGACACAGGGACATGGACACTGACACAGGGACACAGGGACATGGGCAGGGACACGGACACAGGGACACAGGGACATGGACACTGACACAGGGACACAGGGACAGGGACACTGACACAGGGACACAGGGAGTGCAGCCCCGCCTTGACGATGTCGGGGCCAGATTTCATCACCGTCCTGGGGACATTGGGGACATTGGGGACATTGGGGACATCGGGACTTACAATCAGGACACAGGGACACAGGGACACAGGGACACAGGGACAGGGACACAGGGAGTGCAGCCCCGCCTTGACGATCTCGGGGCCGGACTTCATCACCGTCCTGGGGACATGGGGACATTGGGGACATTGGGGACATCGGGGACATTGGGGACACACTCAGGGACACAGGGACACAGGGACATGGACACTGACACAGGGACACAGGGAGTGCAGCCCCGCCTTGACGATCTCGGGGCCGGATTTCATCACCGTCCTGGGGACATGGGGACATTGGGGACACACACAGGGACACACACAGGGACACAGGGACAGGGACACTGACACAGGGACACAGGGACAGGGACACAGGGACACAGGGACAGGGACACTGACACAGGGACACAGGGACAGGGACACTGACACAGGGACACAGGGACACAGGGACATTGGCAGGGACACAGGGACACAGGACACAGGACACATGACACAGGACACGGGACATGCAGGACATCATGGGACATCACCGGACACAGGGACACAGGGACATGGACACAGGAACACAGGGACAGGGACACTGGCAAGACACAGGGACACGGGACACGAGGACACTAGGGACACAGGACACATTGGGACAGCGACAGGGACACAGGGACACAGGGCGACATGGGACATAGGCGGACACTGGGACACAGGGACACAGGGACAAGGACACCGGCACAGGGCACAGGAACACAGGGACACTAGGGACACTAGGGACACAGGGACACAGGGACAGGGACACTGACACAGGGACACAGGGACACAGGGACAGGGACACTGACACAGGGACACTGACAGGGACAGGGACAGGGACACTGACACAGGGACACAGGGACAGGGACACAGGGACAGGGACACAGGGACACAGGGACACAGGGACACAGGGACACAGGGACACAGGGATACAGGGACACAGGGACACAGGGACAGGGACACTGGGACATGGACACTGACACAGGGACACAGGGACACAGGGACAGGGACAGGGACAGGGACACAGGGGCACAGGGACAGGGACACTGGGACATGGACACTGACACAGGGACACAGGGACATGGGCAGGGACACAGGGACACAGGGACACATGGACACAGGGACACAGGGACATGGGCAGTGACACAGGGACACAGGGACACAGGGACATGGGCACTGACACAGGGACATGGGCAGGGACACAGGGACACAGGGACACAGGGACACGGTGTCCCCACCTGGCATCCAGGGACCGTGCCAGGATGAGCAGACAGTTCACCACGGCCGGGGCGTCCGTGCCTGGGGGGACACGGGGACATTGGGGGGTGTGACATCAGGGAGACCCTCCCAGTGCCCCCCAGTGCCCTCCAGTGTCCCCCCAGTGCCCTCCAATCCCTCCAGTGTCCTCCCAGTCCCTCCCAGTGCCCCCCAGTGCCCTCCAGTGTCCCCAGTGTCCCCTCAGTGTCCCCCAGTCCCTCCCAGTGTCCCCCACCCCACCCAATGTCCCCCAGTGTCCCCAGTCCCACCCAGTGTCCTCCCAGTGCCCCCAGTGCCCTCCAGTCCCTCCAGTGTCCCCCACCCCACCCAGTGTCCCCCCAGTGTCTCCCAGTCCCTCCAGTGTCCCCCAGTGCCCTCCAGTCCCTCCAGTGTCCCCACCCCACCCAGTGTCCCCCAGTGTCTCCCAGTCCCCAGTGCCCCAGTGTCCCCAGTCCCTCCCAGTGTCCCCCACCCCACCCAGTGTCCCCTAGTGTGTCCCAGTCCCCCAGTCCTCCCAGTGTCCCTCCGGTGTCTCCCAGTCCCCCAGTGTCCCCCAGTGCCCTCCAGTGTCTCCCAGTGTCCCCCACCCTCCCAGTGTCCCCCAGTGTCTCCCAGTCCCCACAGTGTCCCCAGGTCCCTCCCAGTGTCCCCCACCCCACCCAATGTCCCACCCAGTGTCCTCCCAGTGTCCCCAGTCCCCCAGTGCCCCTCCCAGTGTCCCCCAGTCCCTCCCAGTGTCCCCAGTCCCCCAGTGCCCCTCCAGTGTCCCCCAGTCCCTCCCAGTGTCCCCCACCCCACCCAATGTCCCCCAAGTCTCCACCCAGTGTCCCCAGTGTCTCCCCAGTGTCCCCACCCCCACCCAGTGTCTCCCACCCCACCCAGTGTCTCCCAGTCCCCCCAGTCCCTCCCAGTTCCCCAGTTACCGAAGAGCGAGACGCGGTGCCGGACCAGTGCGGCCAGTTTGCAGAAGAGGCTGAGGGGGGACATGAGGGGGTCAGGAGTGTCCCCAAAACCTTGGGGGTCCCCAAAGCCCCCAGGAGGGGACAGGGGGTCCCTGATTCTCCTCTCATGGGGGGGACAGGGGGTGTCTGAGACTGGGGGTCTGGGCACCCATGACGGGGGTCTGGGGGTCCCATAACTGGGGTGTGGGGGTCTGGGGGTCCCATAACTGGGGTTTGGGGGTCTGTGGGGTACCCTGGGTGGGGTTTTGGGGTCTCACCTGGTGATCATCTCCTTCTCCTTGTTGGAGGCGTGTTTGGGGTCTGGGGGTTCCATACCTGGGGTGTTTGGGGTCTGGGGGTCCCATACCTGGGGTTTTTGGGGTCTGTGGGGTCTGTGGGGTGCCCTGGGTGGGATTTGGGTGGGGTTTTGGGGTCCCACCTGGTGATCATCTCCTTCTCCTTGTTGGAGGCGTGTTTGGGACTGGGGGTCCCATACCCAGGGTTTTGGGGTCTGGGGGTCCCATACCCGGGGTTTTGGGGTCTGGGGGTCCCACAAAGGGGGTTTTGGGTTTTGGGGTCTGTGGGGTGCCCTGGGTGGGGTTTGGGGTCCCACCTGGTGATCATCTCCTTCTCCTTGTTGGAGGTGTGTTTGGGGGTCTGGGGGTTCCATACCCGGGGTGTTTGGGGTCTGGGGGTCCCATACCCAAAGGGGTTTTTGGGGTCTGTGGGGTCTGTGGGGTGCCCTGGGTAGGATTTGGGTGGGGTTTTGGGGTCCCACCTGGTGATCATCTCCTTCTCCTTGTTGGAGGCGTGTTTGGGGGTCTGGGGGTTCCACAATGGGGTTTTGGGGTCTGGGGGTCCCATACCCAGGGTGTTTGGGGTCTGGGGGTCCCATACCCGGGGTTTTGGGATGTTTGGGGGTCTGGGGGTCCCACAAAGGGGGTTTTGGGGTCTCACCTGGTGATCTTCTCCTTGTTGGAGGCGTGTTTGGGGGTCTGGGGGTCCCATAATGGGGTTTTGGGGTCTGGGGGTGCCATACCCGGGGTTTTGGGGTCTGGGGGTCCCACAAAGGGGGTTTTGGGGTCTGTGGGGTGCCCTGGGTGGGATTTGGGTGGGGTTTGGGGTCTCACCTGGTGATCAGTTCCTTCTCCTTGTTGGAGGCATGTTTGGGACTGGGGGTTCCACACCCAGGGTTTTGGGGTCTGGGGGTCCCATACCCAGGGTTTTGGGGTCTGGGGGTCCCATACCTGGGATTTTGGGGTGTTTGGGAGTCTGGGGGTCCCACAAAGGGGGTTTTGGGGTCCCACCTGGTGATCATCTCCTTCTCCTTGTTGGAGGCGTGGCCGCCGCTGCCCAGCACCTGGGCCGGGGTGGACAGGAAGTACAGGCAGTGGTTGTGGAAGTACTGGTTGATGAGGGGCAGCAGGATCTGGGGGGGGAAGGGTCAGGGGGGGGTCAGTGGGACCCCAAAAACCCCCACAGGGAACCCAATAACCCAGAGAGAACCCAAAAAACCCAAATTCCCCATGGGGAGACCACATACCCCACAGAGACCCCAAATAACCCACAGCGATCCCAAATACCCCATAGACACCCCAGATAACCCATAGACACCCCAAATATCCCACAGAGAACCCAAATAACCCACAGACACCCCAAATATCCCACAGCGATCCCAAATACCCCACAGAGACCCCAAATATCCCAGAGACACCCCAAATATCCCACAGAGACCCCAAATACCCCATAGACACCCCAAATACCCCATAGACACCCCAAATAACCCATAGAGAACCCAAATACCCCACAGAGACCCCAAATACCCCATAGACACCCCAGATATCCCACAGAGACCCCAGATATCTCACAATGACCCCAAATACCCCATAGACACCCCAAATACCCCACAGACACCCCAAATATCCCATAGACACTCCAAATATCCCAAAGAGATCCCAAATAACCCATAGACACCTCAAATATCCCATAGAAACCCCAAATATCCCAAAGAGATCCCAAATACCCCACAGAGAACCCAAATATCCCCCCACCTTGGCGAAGAACTTGATCTCCTGCTCGTGGGGGGATTTCTCCACCCGCCCGCTGCTCACCACGGCCTCTGGGGGGGCAATGAGGGGGGGTCAGGGGGGCCCACCAGGGCCCCAGGGTGGGCTGGGGGTCCAGGGGGTCAGGGGTCCCACCAGGGCCCTGGGGAGGGTTGGGGGTCCAGGGAGGTCTGGGCCTGGGGGTCTCACCCAGGTGGGCGATGAACTCCTGGGCGATGTCCCAGAGAGGGCTGGGGGTCACAGAGGGTTTGGGGGCTCAGAGGAGATCCCAAGGGTTTGAGGGGGCTCCCAAGGGTTTGGGGGGCTCGGGGGGGATCTGAAGGGTCTGGGGGGGCTCGGGGGTCTCACCCAGGTGGGCGATGAACTCCTGGGCGATGTCCCAGTGAGGGTTGGGGGATCCCAAGGGTTTGGGGGGATCCCAGAGGTCTGGGGGTGCTCCCAAGGGTTTGGGGGGCTTGGGAGGGATTCCAGGGGTCTGAGGGTGCTCTCAGGGGTTTGGGGGGCTCCCAGGGGTCGGGGGTCTCCCCCAGGTGGGCGATGAACTCCTGGGCGATGTCCCAGCGAGGCGGGGAGTCACAGAGGGTTTGGGGGCTCAGGGGATCCCAAGGGTCTGGAGGGGCTCCCAGGGGTCTGGGGGTTCTCTCAGGGGTCTGGGGGCTCCCGAGGGTCAGGGTCTCACCCAGGTGGGCGATGAACTCCTGGGCGATGTCCATCCAGCGCAGCAGCTGCTGCAGGAACCCGAAGGCGAAGCGTTTCTCGATGGACGACGTGTCCAGTTCCATGTCCTTCAGCCCCTAAAGACACCCCAAAACTCAACAACCCCCCTGCTGCTCCCCAAACCCCTCCTGCTCCCCCAAACCCCGCCCTGTTCCCCCAACCCTGCCCTGCTCCCCCAAACCCTGCCCTGCTCCCCCAACCCCCTCTGCTCCCCCAAACCCCGCCCTGTTCCCCCAACCCTGCCCTGCTCCCCCAAACCCTGCCCTGCTCCCCAAACTCCCCCTGCTCCCCAAGCCCCTCCTGCTCCCCCAAACCCTGCCCTGTTCCCCCAAACCCCCTCCTGCTCCCCCAGACCCCTCACTGCCCCCATATTCTGAGTTCCCTTTGGGATTCCAAGTCCTCCCCAAGGGGTTTTGGGGTCTCTGGGGGGGGGTTTTGGGCTCCTGGGGGTTTTTGGGCTCCTGGGGGGTGTTTGGGATCCCAGGGGGTGTTTTTGGGCTCCCGGGGGATGTTTTTGGGGTCCCTGGGGGTGTTTTTGGGGTCCCTGTGGGTGTTTGAGTTCCATGGGGGTGTTTTGGGTGTCCCTGGGGGTGTTTTTGGGTTCCCAGGGGGTGTTTTTGGGTTCCCAGGGGGTGTTTTTGGGGTCCCTGGGGGTGTTTTTGTGGTCCCTGGGGGTGTTTGGGATCCCAGGGGGTATTTTTGGGGTCCCTGGGTTTGTTTGGGTTCCTGGGGGTGTTTGGGTTTCCAGGGGGAGTTTTAGGGTTCCTGGGGGTTTTTTGGGCTCCAGGGGGAGTTTTAGGGTTCCTGGGGGTTTGTTTTTGGGGTCCCAGGGGGTGTTTTTGGGGTCCCTCCTCACCGGGTGACGGCGTATCCGTGGAGCTGCAGGAACTTGAGCAGCTCCTGGGCCTTCTCCCTGTCCCGAGCCTTCTCCTTGGCCGTCAGGGTGTCGTAGGGCACCAGGAGGGGGTGAGACCCCCCCCCTGCACCCCAAATTAGCGCCTGAGCCCCCAGATTGACCCCCCTCCAAATCTGGGGTTTTGGGGGGGGGTCTCACCCTTGTGGCCTCCAGCCCCCCCTGGGTGGGGGTTATGGGATCTCCCCCAGATTTGGGGTTTGGGGGGGGTCTCACCCTTGGCCTCCAGCCCCCCCTGGGGGGGTTATGGGATCTCCCCCAGATTTGGGGTTTTGGGGGGGGTCTCACCCTTGTGGCCTCCAGCCCCCCCTGAGAGGGGGTTATGGGATCTCCCCCAGATTTGGGGGTTGGGGGGGTCTCAGCCCTGGTTTCCCTGGGGATGGGGGGTCCCAGGGTACCCCAGATTTGGGGTTTTGGGGGGGGTCTCACCCTTGTGGTCTCCAGCCCCCTCTGGGTGGGTTATGGGATCTCCCCCAGATTTGGGGGTTTGGGGGTCTCAGCCCTGGTTCCCCTGGGGTTGGGGGCTCTGGGGGCCTAGGGTCCCCAGATTTGGGGTTTTGGGGGGGGTCTCACCCTTGGCCTCCAGCTCCAGCTTCTTCTTGCGGCCCCAGGTGTTGTGATAGTTCTCGGCCAGCTGCTCTGCCATGGCCTGGGGGGCAGGGGGTTTTGGGGGTCTGGGGAGCTTCTGGGGGGCTCTGGGGTGTCTCGTGGGGGTGACCCGGAGTCCCCAGGGACATGGAGGGGACACAGGGGAGACCTCCATGGGAGGAAGTGGGAGGACATGGGGGAATGGAGGGCTGGGGAGGACATAGGGGGACATTGGGGGTCCTAGGGGACATGGGGGGACAGGGGTGACATGGGGGGACAGGGGGACATTGGGGGGTCCCAGGGGACATGGAGGGAGATGGGGGGACAGAGGGGACATTGGGGGGGTCCCAGGGGACATGGAGGGACATTGGGGGACAGGGAAGACACTGGGGGACAGAGGGGACATTGAGGGGTCCCAGGGGACAGAGGGGACATTGGGGGGTCCCAGGGGACATGGAGGGACACAAGGTGACATTGGGGGACAGGGGTGACATTGGGGGGTCCTAGGGACATGTGGAGGGACATGAAGGGACATTGGGGGACAGGGAAGACATTGGGGGACAGAGGGGACATTGAGGGGTCCCAGTGGACATTGGGGGGTCCCAGTGGAAACGGAGGGACATGGAGGGACATTGGGGGACAGGGAAGACATTGGGGGACAGAGGAGACATTGGGGGTCCTAGGGACATGGAGGGACACAAGGTGACATTGGGGGACAGGGGTGACATTGGGGGACAGGGGTGACACTGGGGGGTCCCAGGGGACATTGGGGGGTCCCAGGGGACATGGAGGGACACAAGGTGACATTGGGGGACAGGGTGACATTGGGGACAGGGTGACACTGGGGTCCCAGGGGACATTGGGGGGTCCCAGGGGACACTGGGGGACAGGGGGGACATTGGGAGTCCTCACCTGGAGCTCCCTGGACAGCGTCACCCCGGTCAGGTCCACGGGCTGGGGGCTGTACCCGTGGGAGGGGCCGTAGGTGGCCTGGGGGGATAAATGGGGGTCAGGGGCACCTCCTGCAGGTGTTTTTGGGGTTCCCCCACCCCCCTGGAGGTGTTTTTGGGGTTCCCCAACCCCCTGGAGGTGTTTTTGAGGGTCCCACCTGGGCACTCTGGGAGATTTTCCGGGTTTTCTTCTTCTCGGCCCGCTCGTCCTCCCCTTCCCGGGCCTTCTCCACCGTCCACTCCCAGGCCAGCATGGCCTTCAGGGACTCCTTGATGGGCCACCGGTAGATCTCCTTGTCCTGGGGGGGGTCACAGGGCTCAGGGGGGCTCCCCAAAATCGGGGGGAGGCCCCCAAAATCATGGGGGGTCCGTGGGGAGGAGCAGGGATGGGATTGGGGGTTGGGTGAGGGTGAAGATGGCCCTTGGTGGATTTTCTGGTCCTGGGGAGGGTCAAGGGGGGTCCCCCAAAATCAGGGGGGGCTCAGGGGAGGGTCAAGAGGAGGAGGAGGGGTGGTTTTGGGGGGGTTGGATGGTTTTGGGGTGGGTTTGGAGTGTTTTGGGGGGTTGGAGGGTTTTGGGGGTCTGAAGGACGAGGATGGTCAGTGACGATGCAATGGAGGGGACGGATGGTTTGGGGGTCTTGATGGGTTTGGGGGTGTCCTGGTGGGCCTGGGGGTGTCCTGGTGGGTCTGGGGGTGCCCCAGGGGTCCCCAGGGTACCTTTTCAGAGAAGGTCTTGTAGGGCCTCAGCATGGGGTGGGCTTTGGCCTCTTCGCTCCACGGTCTCCCCAAAAGTCCAGTTGTTCTGGATCTGGGAGGAGACACAGATTTGGTGGGGGGCTCAAGGGGCTGGGGGACCCCTTGGGGGTCCTGGGGGTGTCCCACGGGGTCGGGGGCCCAGGGGTCCCCACCTTGTCGAAGGCCCACTTCTCGTGCGTGTACTCGGCGTACTTGTTGATGAAGCCGTCGAGCTTCTCGGGGATGATGACGCTGGGGGACACGGGGGGTCAGGGGGTCAGGGGGACAGGGGATGAGGGTGGGGGGGCTGGGAGGGGTTGGGGGTCCCCACGAGGATGAGGGTGAGGAAGGAGGGGTTGGAGGGTCTGGATGGAACTGGGAGGGGCT